GGATTCCTCGGAAAGGCGGTACGAAATTGTTTTCACTGTCTTTTTGGTTTCAAAATCTCAAAATCACTTTCATATTACCTATTTGTTGAGAGTATATAATTTTTTTTTATTTTACCATAAACCTTTAAATCAAATCGCATAAGATAAATCAGCTAACATTATTTTTTCTTTCTTTTCTTCTAGGTGAGTAAACAACATTTGGGATACGGATATATGTACTATGTGTAGCTGCTCAATAAACATTAACACTTGTCAACTAATCAATTAATCGGCAGTAAGAATTAATTGATTTTAAATTTATAGATTCTTAAAATAAAAATTTAGTTTTAAATTCATAAATGCATATTTTGGCGCTTACACTTTTGTTAAGCGTTTGGCCGAGCTTTTCCACCAATTGGTGGATGGAGGACCAACAGTTTCACGTCGGCTCCGAACGGTAAATCGCAGTAATATATACTCGGAGGCTTGCCATTGCCTGCCGAAGGGCGACCGCCGTTGGAAATCACATTTTCTAATTTAGTTGTTGCTCGGAGCCGTGAGGCCTGAGTGTTAGTCCGCCCGTCTAACCACTCAGCCACAACAGTCGTTAAGTTTAGCTACGCAAACCTTGCTTTGGACTAATGATCTCTGCGCTACCGAAAGTTCAGTTCTGATTTAATAATTCTATCGCCTTTGCCAGTTCTCTTCATTCGAGATCAATTCCATACTGGAACACCACCAATCATAATTTGCTCAACTCATTTGTGTCTACGATGCACCCAACGCGCCCAATTAATGCAACATTATCCAGCCGAATTCGGTCAGCTGCGCATTTTAGCTTTGAGTTTTGTCTAATTTTGTTTTTGCATTTTGAACGCTCGTGGCACACTTTTAGGCAAATAAGCCATTCATCTCCAGCGAGCCGGTCAGCCAGCAAGCGAGCTAGCCATTAGCGCACATTACGCTATGCATTGAATGCAATCGACCGAAATAATTGGCGTGGTTTTTCGTTTCGATTGTAGAAAGCTTGTGGCTCGGCAGCTTTTATTGCTAAAAACCAAAAAAAAAAAACAAAAAAAAATATATAAACAAAAGCAACAAGTTGATAGCAGGCATTAGTTGTTGCAACGCCAACGAATGCAATAGCGTCGGAGGCGCCACCAACGTGCTTGCGACGTGCCGCAACGCTTCAATGCATAACCAAATTGTGCAACAATAAAAACAACATTATGCCGCGCTTTGGTTTTTGATTTTGACTTTTCTATATGTAAAAACATTCATATGTAGCACATGCAGAGTGATTTACCTACAGACCTACAATAAAAAAAGAGGCAACATAAAATCGGTGTATGTGCAATTCGTGTTGCCGTTGCACTATCTACTTAAAAGTTTGTACATTTATTTATTTAAATATAAGCCGCTTGTGCGCATGGCTTTATTGCCAATGCTCAACGTACATATACATATGTACATATGTATGTATGTATGTATGGATGTGGTGCGCACTCAATTGTTGCAATCATAAAAGTATTGTTATTGCTTGCCTCTTACTATTTCTTCCTCGTCGTCTTCTTTTCTGCTGTTATGCCGTCAGTGTAGTATTTTTTCTTCTTCTTTTAGTTTGCCTCTTACACGCGACTATTGACAACAAAATGTTGCATTGTACTCCGTTGCATTTGGCTTTGATTGTTGCTCGCTTGTGGTTGCTCTTTTTTTCCATTTGCTACTTCTTGTTCTGCTGTGAATCGATGCGCAATTGCTGCTTCCATTTTTTATTGCACTGACAATCAAAATTTGTTGAATAGGCTTGTTTTTTCATATTATTTTTTTTTTGCTATTGAAATGTTTTTTTGTTGTTGTTTTGGTATATAAAACAATTTTTTATACAATGAAATTATGTAAACATTCATTAAGCTGCTAGTTTTATTGTTGCAATTATTTCTTAATAAATAGCCATCCCAACTGGAAATTGAAAATATTTGTTCAGGAAAATGTTTCGTTAAAGCGACAAACTCCTAAACATGGGAGTGTGAGTTTTAGGACAAAACGCAGATTTTATTGCGGATTTTGGCAGAATATCTATTAACTAACAACATTTTTTCCAAGACTTTTTTTGTATTCACACTATAATAAAAAATAAATAAAAAATTGTCAAATTAATTTTGTATGGAAAAAAATTTGTAATGCAGTCAGAACAAAAAATAATTAAAAATCAACGCGATTTTTTAGCAACCTAAGACTTGCACATTATTAGCCCTAGAATTTAATGGGCTATTAAACTGCATACTCAAAAAATTTTAAAAAATCTAAATAAAAGGTTGAAAATCTAGCTGAAATTTTGCAGATTTTTCACAATTTTTGCACAAAGTTTGAAATCTGGATTTATATGCTGTTTGTTATACAATGAGCTAGACTTTTATGGAAAAATAATAAGCATTAAATAAACGAAAGCAAAATAGCAAAAATTTATCAAAATGTTGCTCGCTTAATTAGCTGATCACAAGTGTATATAGATCTCCAAATTAGCCCTTTCACGTTCAAAAAATTTCCAACTAGCAATAGTTTATGCAACTAGTTGCTCGCTGCAGCAGTCATGTTGCTAGTATGTATAATGAAACAAGTAAGAAAGTCGAAGTTCGGGCGGGCGGAACAATAAATACCCGGCGCAATTATTAAATATATGTTTTCCTCCTTTCCGAAAA